TATAATGCAAATTAAGTATATAACCAGCAGAAATGTGGTTTTGTCTCTAGCAACAAATGGGCAAAAGATATACAAGAAGTACCAACATAATAGCTTTAATAAAATAAAGAATTTAGAAAAGTATATTAATTTCCTTAGGATATAAATAATTCTGAATGCAAATGTAAATGTTTGTTCGGTCTGTGGTCGGTCTGATGCTGATTTCTTCAGTGAGGCTGGGATATTATATACCCGCCTATGCAAGAAGACGTTCTGGAATACACTGGTATCAGAATCTTGAATATATGTTTACTTGTGTAGTGTATAATATACAACTATGCATAAATTATGGAATTAAGATAGATAGGTTGCCATGGTAATTACGGGGGCGGAGTGGCTTGTAAGCTTTCTCTATTCTACGTTTTTACTCTCAAGGAATTTATAGTGCCATATTGTAGCCGTACCGTGTAGTGGTGCATGACTTTAAAGATGAGGTTGAGTTATTGGAAGAGGAGAAAAATAAGTTGTGAGCGTTATCATTGTTATTATGCAAATGTGAAAGAACATAGAATAAGAAAATGGCTCTTCAAATGCCTTCATAGAGGTAGGGGTTGAAGAACGATAACATGAAAGTAGATCTAATGTAGATGTAGATCTCTCACACCACATAATTACCACCGAGAAGCCATTATGAAGAACAATACTAACAATAATAATGATAATGAAAATAGTGATGATGATGATGATGATGATAGTAATATGAATAAAAGTTTGTTATAACAATTATTTGCAGCGTACATGGTTTACTCATTGAAAAACCTCGATGTACTGCACAATCAATACAAAGGTCATCTGATGTAGCACATTATCATCTGGCTTACATGAATAGAATACCCGCATTGACTTCGGGGTACATTGTGAAGACAGACGATGTTTAAAAATGGCGGGATTGCATTTCAGAAAACGCAGTAGGTCTGCATGACCTCTGAAGGCTCTATGGCTTCCAACTCGGTATAATGCATACAATACCAATCAACAATCTCCCATTGCCAGTGCATTACTCTATAAATACAAAATATGCCATAAAGTAGTCCCTCATAGAGCTCCCATTTATCAATATCCTTGGCAATCAACGGTGAAACGAGAGCACCAGCTGGTCGGCTCATTTTCAGCTCAGCTATTCAATCTCTGCCCGCTTCCGCGTTTCGTGACAAAGTGATGATGTGAGAAGGTTTGGGTTTTAGGTGTTCGCCCAGGCTTTTCAACAATCACTTACAATGTAAATCGTATTTCGTGTAAAAATGTATTCATAGAAACCACATAGCACCTAAATATGAAATGTATAGGTAACAAAGAGAGAAAACATTTAGAATTTGGAACTGAGATAAATGACCATGATATGTAAATATATTTATTTTCGCTACATGCATGTGCATGTGGTTTGCTTTCACTACAAACAGGCATGTACCTGAGCGGGGTTGAAGAAAATAGGGAGTGCGTTGTCTCACATCCCCTAATATGCAAGGTTGTGTATTGCAATGAGCTGCTTAAACGAAATCAAACATTATAATCTTTGTGAACACATCTATTAACCTCTTTTTAGACTGCAAACTGAAGTGTATATTATTTGATTTATTTTTTCTCAAAAATTATTGTACGTTATTGCTTAGGAGGTAATGTCTAAGCTCCTTGTTTTTTGCATTTATACTTATAAGTGCAAGCAAGGAAATGTCTGACATTAACTAGTCGCATGAATGAGTTTAGGATGAACCTTATCCTAATGTCAAGAAAAATCGTGCAGTAACCTTGGTAACTTTGCTTTGTGTTTGTTCATGATCCGTCAATAATTATTTCTCCGCTGTCAATTTCTACTTCTGGTCCAAAGTCCTAACTTCATACGAATCCTTAAACTAGCTACCCCTATCACTTTGACGAATTATTCTTCAATTACTTGATTTTGTTCTCATTAGATTTCAATTGAATGGAAATCCGTCTCAACTGTCAATTTCATGAGCTTGTTTCTTCTTTTGTTTTGTTCCCCTATGCAGGCCCAGGAAGGTAATGCTCGTTGATTGGATCAAAACCAACTGGATTCAGGCCGGCCTATGTTTCCTGTACATCACACACATACTGATGCGATTGCCAATCGTTCTATTTACATTCTTCGCCGCATCTTCTCTCGAGCAGACGACTACGTGCGTGACGGAGGTGTTAGTCCAAAATCATCTGGCGCGAAATTAGACACATACGGTCTAGGTATTGACGATTCATCCGAGGAAGAAGCGAGGGAAAACGTGCATTGTGTGCAGCAAGACGGGTGAAAGAGGCAGACGATGGGTGTCATGACAACCAAGATATATAGCTGTGAGATACTTCATAGGAGAAGATAGTCAACCATCCAGTCATCCTGCCAGAGCCCTGATACTTTGTACGTGCTTCGTTTGTTTTAGCAGTATTATAGAGAAGATCGTGGAAGCAAACGGATGCGATTTATCACAGGAGGGGCTGCACAGTATACGGTCATTATAACTGAATACGTTTGAGCTTACAATCAAAACAGTATTGTGACGACTTCCAGCTCCTGTTTGCAACATAGAACCTAACGCTGACTAGATATTTAGTCGATGTATCTTGCTTTTCTATTGAAACAAATCTGTCTTTCTACACGAAACTGAATTATCTTCATGCAAACGCTGGTTTAGACAGGAAAACCTGTGCAACATAATTATCCCAGGTCCTTGGCAAAGCGCCTGCCAACATGCCACAATGACGTTAATCATGGAAACATTGACAAAGCACTGACAATCGTCATAATTGGAAGAGGTTAACAGCCACCTGTTGCCCTCTGATAGTACATCGAGAGGTAAACGTTACCTTTGACCTCATACCAACTTACAAAGTCATCGTTTCGTTCGCTGGAATCTCGTTCAGGAAGTAGAGTTGATTGGTGTTTTTGTATCTTAGAGATAATGCTTGTAAGACATTATCAAAACGAGATTGTAAAATCCTAAACTTGTAAGCACATATTTACAACCTGACCTTTGACCACAACCCAACTCATATTTTCCAGGATCATTGCAGGGGAGGATTTTTTTGTTCACTCGATTCTCCTTTAAAAGAGTCCATGGACGGGAATATTATGAATCGTCGGATGTCTGATCTCTATCTCACAGACTGATGATTGCGATACGTAATGGAAACGTGGTAAATTTCTAAATGATTAAAAATTGTATTGTGAGCGTTAGTGTTCGTGTCCTAAAGTAGCGACCTAGACGCTGAAACCATCAAATATTTGGCAGACTACCCATGCCATATTCTCATAAAAGTATATACTCTTTTTCAGTAGTTTGAGGTGTCCCTCGCATCACCCCTATGAATTCGCCTTTTGATCCGAAAAACGGATTTAAACGTCCGTCTAGACTCCAGACAACCGCCTGCGTATATAACTACTTTCCCCTTCAGCGCTGAACGGATGAATTACACGGGAAATTACAATCTCAGCTAAATCAGTCGGAGCTAACCTTTCACTTCTTATGTTTGGGGCAATGTTACCCATGACCCGTGATCGATTGTTCATCAAGTGACGGGGTTTTGGAGGAACAGTGACTCGAGGACCAAACTGCTCTCGGCGGGTGAACTCTGCACCATTCCATCTCAATGCCAATTGCCAAGATTAATTCCACAGGAGGCGATGAAAACAACCGCATTAGTAATGAAAGAACGTTCAGATGAAAGTTATACTTGACCGACCTTCAGATGATTGAGTGCTCATGATTTGTTTCCAAAGTATAAATATCCGGTGGATGTTTTTAACGCCTATTTATTGACATTGTTAAAATATGCTCGACGGGACTTGTAAACGGACTTTGCCGAGCGATATTACGATGTTCATTTTATGAAATGCAGGAATCATTATCTTCACGGATTTCGCTCTTCAATTTGTACACGTCGATTTCGCGCTTGTTATCCATGGAAGGAAAAATTTGTTTTCGTCGTTTTGTTCTCGCAAATTGATATTGTAATAAAATATTGTAAATGTGGGCTCCATTTCGCCTCTGCATTTACAGCCTCTCGAAAGTATTTGTGGCCGAAATAGTGAAAATGGCAAGCAGCCTTTAGGCGTTTTCGTCGTCACCGGTATGGCTCTAGGGGAATTCATGACTCGTAAGTGGGTCAAACCTTTTATCGCTTTCTTCGCTCTGACTCTCGTTTCTCTATTAGCCTTCGGAAGCCTCACATCACGCATCGGCGTTGGAACGATGTACGCGAGTAGTGATGAACATAAATCAAGGACTCGTATGCAGAAAACGTTGGATCTGACCGCTTCGTCCCGCAACACAGCATACATGTCTTTGTCAGTTCCGCATCGCAGGGTATATTCCACCCCTGCGTCCGGTGTAGAGCAAAATGACAGGACAACATCGGATAATCCTTTTCCAATTCGTAAAATAGTCCGTAATCCTATAATAAGTAACATTTCATCTTCGACTTCTTCGACTCCATCACATAAGTCTGACAGCTCGGACGGAGACTGGGTGGACCAATTACAATCAACACATACCAGACAAAATACAAGGCAGACCTCTGTATCAAATATATCAGATTCTGAAATTAAATCTGAAAGAACTAGGCCTATATTTAATTCTGATAACTCGCAAAATAAGAAAGACAGGACTAAAGAAAAAATAAGATCAATAACCGAGAAACCAGTTTTTATTGTATTAATGGGACGCATGCGCACAGGTTCAACTCTCATTGGTGAAATCTTTAATCAGAACCCGTCAATAGGATTCCTCTTTGAGCCCCTGCACGCAGTGTGTGATTGGAGCAAGAAAGGAACTATCCACAAATCGCATTTTACTACGGCGGCTAGTTCTCTCTTGCGCAAAATTAGCTCCTGTGAATTCCCGCCCAATTTCATCTCCAGTATAATGAAGTGGCCAGTCGGCGGAGGATTTCGCAGTAGTATGATCCAACCCGCATGCGCTATGACGAGTTCTTGTAAACACGCGACCTCGAATATGCTACGTCATCAATGTCGTAAGTTTAAGAAGTACAGAGGGATCAAGACCATTCGTGCGGACCTAAATCTACTGCTCAAACTCATTGAAGAAGACACGGTGAATGTTAAAATATTACATCTTATACGAGACCCCCGCGGAGTAGCGAACTCACGGCGTCAAGTTTACTCCGTAGACAGTAATTCCATGCAACGGCGGTTAGCTGCTCGCGGTTACCGCCACCGCGTATTGCATGACGACCGCGTCGCGAATCCTTTTCCCGGTGAAGGAAGGAGACCAATGTCATTACATCACCACCACTACCAGTCGCCTATAGCGCGTGGGACGAGACTGGATATACTTGGTCTAATGGAGACTTCAGATGTGTTCCCACTTCTCAACACCATGCCAGCGTATTGTAAATGGCTGGATTCTACCATCACGCTAGCGCAGAAGCAACCTGATTGGTTGAAAGGCCGCTACAAGCTGATCCGCTACGAGGACTACGCGGCCACACCGCTTAGCGTTACCGAAGACGTTTACCGCTACTTCGATATGTATCTTCCCGATAAAGTACGACGATGGGTGGCGAACAATACGGAAGGTGACGTCAAAGGCGGAGACAGGCTCTACGGGTCGCATAAGAACTCTTCTGAAGCAGCTTTCAAATGGAGAACGTTGATGACGGCCGAGGAGGCTTTGCAAGTAGAGAAAGAGTGTGGAGACATTATGAAGCGGTTAGGTTACAGAACGACGTCCAGTCGGGTTCGCCTGGATGACCTAGAACAGTCTCTTTTTCTACCTCTTCCAGATGATATACCACGTGAATTATGATTCACATCCACGTTTATATGCATGCTAATGTTATGTATCATGATATACAAATAATACACAGCAGTGAGGGCATTAGTAAGAATTACCCACGCAAGGTACCTTTGGAACAGTCTAACACGCCCAAGGCGTAACCGAGGGTGTTTGGAAGCTACCGAGTGTGGGTAATTTTACTAATGCCCGAACAAAATGATGTGTATTATTGGTTTTATAAAATTATAACGTGGATCCTTGTTATTTGATCAATCGCCCTCATCTGTAACTCAAAGGTCCGAATTCACAAATCTATCCCATGGTTAAAATTCTCATTTACATAACCCATTGTTTAAAATAAGCGCAAATTGAGGCGTACCTTGCCTTGCGCGCGTGTAATATTTAACCTCTTACTTGTGGCGCGCTTATTTTGCGCTAATTTTAGCTAGATGTGGTAATGACCGGTCATTACCCAAATTACGCGTTAGGCAAAATAAATGCCAGGTCACGTGTACGCTTTCAACCAATCATTTGATTAGGATCTACGTCATCATAAATATGACTATTACAATTGTTAAAAGAATTACAGTGCACTGTTATACAGTGAGTGCATTAGTAAGAATTACCCACACAAGGTACCTTTGGAACAGTCTAACACGCCCAAGGCGTAACCGAGGGTGTTTGGAAGCTACCGAGTGTGGGTAATTTTACTAATGCCCGAACAAAATGCTGTGTATTATTGTTTTTAAGATTATGTTTTATTTGGTTCATAAAATCATGTTATATAACATGATTTTTTTTATTTTTTTTTACTAATAACCGGTCATTAGAATTAGATAATGACCGGTCATTATCCAAATTGCGCGTTAGGCAAAAAAAATGCCTGGTCACGTGTACGCTTTCAACCAATCATTAATATTTTAATTAGGATCCATGTCATCATCTTATATTACAACATATTATAGGTAACGTTAATTGTACTGGTCGTATGTAATTTGGGGAAAAAGATTATGTGAGTTGTTTTAGGAGGTTGATTATGAAATAAATTTGGATAGTTGTGCCTTGTGAAGTTTGAGAACCATCGAAATGATGACACATTGACTATAGAACTTGCTAATCACAAATAGTGAAATACATTGCACATAGATATGAGACTTCATTATGTGGCATGGAAATCGGTCCAAAGATTCACACTATTTCCGGTTCATTTTTGATCGGTTTGGGCATATTAAGACCAGTCTCTTTCTGTGGTATTGCTTCTATGATAATATAATTATTCCACCGATGAATTGAAAAACATGAAAGAAAAATAATGTCATGAATTCTTTTTCTCACATTTGCAAGAACTCGATCTCTTCTTTAAACAGGGCAACTCTCTCAGTTCTAAAACTGTTTTCCTGAGAGACCCTGTACAAATCATAGATTACAGATGCAGAGGATATTCAACAAAGTTTTAATACATACGTTATCAAGGTTATTTATACACCATGATATGAACATGGATGAAAAGTAATTATATGAAATAAATCATTATCATCGACTGTTAAATACTCCTTTGTATTCAAGTTATTTGCTCTTCTGAGCATTTAATCTCTTCGAAAATTCTTGATACTAACAGTCCATATTTGCAGACGTTTATCCTTAATTTCTTATATACACTGTCGCTCATAAAGGTGCAATATTTTAGTTTTACCCCAATTTATTGAATTATTTTAAAAATTATTTAAAAATAATAGATATAGATAATAGCATACATTCTCAGATTTTATTGAATAATAACTTGCCAATGTGTGTTTTGCGGAACTGCTTAAGCATGTGTATGCTACTATGCTTATTAACTAGGGGACCTACGCTCTCAAGTCATTAATGACAGTAATGAGGATTAATGCCCCACAAAAGGGCACTAATAAAGCACATCGACACAGTTTTCATCCTGGGGCCTCACAGTTACGAGGCCATTGTTTTGTCACTGAACCATGACTGTACGCAGCGGGGGCTAGGGTAGGGGGCAGTTTCCATAAATTTAAAAAAAAACAGAAAATGCAAATAAATTTTCAATAATTTATTGCATTTTACCCCGGTCTCCAACATAAAAAAATCCTCTGGACGGCCATGCATTATGGCTCAAGGCATGGGCACACAGATTTTTTTTTAATGTTAGGCACCGGGGTTAAATGCAATAAATTATTGAAAATTTATTGCATTTTCTGTGTTTTGTTTAACTTATGGAAACTGCCCCCTACACTAGCCCCCGCTGCGTACAGTCATGGTTCAGTGACAAAGCAATGGCCTCGTAACTGTGAGGCCCCAGGATCAAAACCGTGTCGATGTGCTATATTAGTGCCCTTTTGGGGGGCAAATCCTCATTACTGTCATTTATGACTTAAGGGCATAGGTCCCCTAGTTGATAAGCATAGTAGCATACACATGCTTTAGCAGTCACGCAAAACACACATTGGCAAATTATTATTCAATAAAATCTGAGAATGTATACTATTATCTAGATCTATTATTTTTAAATTATTTTTAAAATAATTCCATAAATTGGAATATAAAAAAAAATATTCCACCTTTATGAGCGACAGTGTACTACAAACGAGTAATGTACATCCAAGATAATCTGTGAATATATGAGAACGTATAAAAAAAAAACATCAATTTATAACGATGACAAACTAATCCAATAGTATGGCGGTGAGATAAACACGACAAACAAACTCCGAGTGAGTTTTACAGAAATAAATTTGAGCATAAATTATTGATTGTTTTTTGCTGACCTGATAAAGAATGTAACTCTTCCAAGATCAGATATAACTTTTAAAGGTGTTATTATAATGAAGTTGAAAAATCAGTACCTTTTGCAAAGTATTGAATCATTCAGTATTATCGGTACGATTATGATCTCATTTCTAAATCATTTTCGATTTTAATAAATAACACAATTCTATCACAAATTATTATAAATATTTTAATAATCACTTTTGAATTTTAACTTGTTAAGGACAAATGAATTGTTCGTTCAAGACGATTTTGACAATACTTTTAAAAAACCCTGATAATATTGACACTAATAATGATAAACCATTTTTAATTATAGTATAGCGCATAACACGTTACATAATTATGTTCCTATGTGCTTGGGAATAAAGAAAAGCAAAGATAAAATACTGTACTAGACTGCGGAGTTCCTTTTATCTATTTTACATTTGGAATAAGTGTGTTTAAGCGCAGACTTAAACTGATGACCAGTTTTAGATTACAGCACTTATATTAATAAGTTATTATTGGACAATATGTTTTCAGTGAGGCATGCTCTCTACAAGTAACCAAAGTTGAGCTATAAATAATGCTTGATAATATTATGTGATAACAACTTGTCGAAGTTATACAAACTCTCCAATTATCTGGGTGCTATACGAGTTGTCGGCTTCCCGTTTTTTCTGCAGCCAATGCACCAAACTTTGATTGTAGATATAGATACTAAAATAGATACTCGACTTTACGGTTGATTCTCGATATCATGGTTGTTACTCTTAATCATCCGTACAGCCTTGAAAGATATTGAGAAGTGATAACTTGTAATTAACTTGTCATGGTGAAGTGCAATATGGCTTTCTTGTGTAAATTCATATATTTATTCCATATGCAATCAAATTGCGTTTTAAAAAAGTGATCAGAATCTCATAAGGTTACTCAGTCATAATTGATGTTTGTTAAAAAGTATGAAAGGCACGAATAACTTGTGATAATTGTGTTCCTGATGTGAAAGTTATGATTGGTTGTCAGCAAATAATACGAATTAGTAAAAGGCGAATTAATGATTCTCTGGTTAAACGGTTGAACCACAAGCATTCTTTTAAATATTTCCATGTTTTAAAAAAAAAATGGACAGTACTGCTGTATAGATAAATAATCTATGGGACCAAACTAGTGCTCGCTAAGAACGAGAAGTGATTACTGTTATCTTCAATGTTTAACTCGTGACATACCAGATAAGATACAGCTGTATGATAACTGTGTAGGGTAAGTAAGTATAGGCTTCTAATTAAAACAAAATTGTATATGATTGTTTCAGTCTTATATTTAATACGATAATGATCTTAATGGAAAGGAACTAATATGTCACATCTCTCTCTCTCTCTCTCTCTCCCTCATTCTCTCTCTCTCTTTTTCTCTCTATCTCTCTATCTCTCTTAATCCTCCTAAATCACATTACATTGGGTGTTAACGCGCTTCTCGTTCAAATACAAACTACTTTTACCTTCTTACTTTTCAGACCGTCTCTCTCTCTCTCTCTCTTTTTCTCCCTTATTCTCTCTCTCTCTCTCTCTCTCTCTCTCTTTTTCTCTCTATCTCTCCATCTCTCTTAATCCTCCTAAATCACATTACATTGGGTGTTAACGCGCTTCTCATTCAAATACAAACTACTTTTACCTTCTTACTTTTCAGACCGTCATGGCAAAAGCAGTTTTTTTAACCAATATAATTACATACTGTCAAACCTGTCTATTAAGGCCAACCACGGAAAACAGAAAGTGTGGCCATGTTTATCTCTTTGTACCACCCCTCTTTCTCTCTCTCTCTCTCTCTCTCTCTCTCTTTTGTGTCTTCATTAGTTGTATACTGTACTAGTAAAATATAATCTTATTTCTGTTCAAAGAACACTCTATAACACACTCGCTCTCTACTTTTCTTTCTGTCCCATTTTTATTTTTCCTGTACCTTTCTGGTTGTTCCTATGTCTCTGTCTATCTGTCTATGTCTGTCTGTCTCTCTACCCCCTTCTCCTAATCTATAAGTAGAGACATTTTACCGGAATGAAGTAAATGTGTAGGCCCTTGCCTGTACAGTCCAAAATTATAACGGTATACCGGGTTTTCAATGAAATCACGGTGATGATGAATATTATTACTTTATTGTTTTGTATGACTGATGTCGTACAATGTCGGAAACTACACAAATCAAGGTTCTGATTACCTCATAAATGCAGGCACTTTGTTATTGAATTGAGAGTACTGTGTAAATCTGGAATAAATATGTTCACAATTGAAAGTTGCACAATTGCATTTCTTTCCTTCTATTTTAATTTCCACTGGATGGTTGTTACATGCAGGCGCGTACACAAGGGGGGGGGGGGGGTTTGGGGGATTAAACCCCCCTTTGGTATTTTCTTTGTGTGTAAACCCCCCCCCCCCCCCCCATAAAAAAAAAAAAATTCCCATGGCTGACCTAAAAAAATTGACCTTACCCCCCCCCCCCCCCCCCCAACGTAGCAAAATGTCAAATTTTCAAATTTCAAGACCAAAAAAAAAAGTGTCCTCTTACCCCCCCCCCCCCCCCCCCCCCCGCTTATTCAGCGGCTGGCTGAGTCGTTGCGAAATTTTCGGCCCGATTTATAAATGTTAAACCCCCCCCCCCCCCCCCCCCCCTCTTGAAAAAATCCTGTGTACGCGCCTGGTTACATGTTTCGTCATTGAACACGGAGAATAAAGAGAGTGTTTTGCATTTCAATGGCAATGCAGTCGTTTGTATTTGTTGAGAGGAACGTGTCGGTGCCAAGTTTTGAATAAATAAAAGAGAAATAACAAGAAAATTGGGAATGTTTTTTGTTTTTTACCACACCATCATCACTGCCTTCGGAAGCTCCACCTTAACTTCACATTGTCATTGCGGCGCAGATTGAGATTACAGAGAGAGAGGTCGAGAGAGGGTGAAATATACGAGGAAGAGATGAGAGAGAGAGAGAGAGAGGGAGAGAGAGAGAGAGAGAGAGAGAGGGAGAGGGAGAGAGAGAGGGGGGGGGGGTGAAAAAAGAGAAAGATAAAGTTTCCTCGCCGTGGCAGTGTTTTGATTCCGCGAAGCTATTTTGATCAACGGGAATCCATACTCTAAAAGACAAACAAACATAAAATAAAACAAAATAACAATAACAACAATAGGTTTCAAGTGGTATAATTGATTTCGAGGGGCACAGTTATAATATAGCTAGGGGAAATATTTTTCCTTTTGCACTTGATTTTAAGTCAAAACAAAAGTCAAAGGGAATTTTTAGCTTCCTACATTTTTTCTCTTTGATTTAGTCACAGTCCCTTTCCATGAAATTTCTCACTCTTTCGTTTTCACAGTCCCCTATCCCAACCCGTTCATTTGTTTGAATACTTGATGAAGGATGATTTTTCCCGCTATACTGTGTAATGCCTACTTCTTGTGTGTTACCTTTTAGTTAGTTTTCCCTTCTCTTTCAAATATTTTGTTGTTGACGGGCCTATCGGGCCTATCATCGAAAAGAGAGCAAGAAAAGAAAAAATGACTTAAGTATCCACTGAGGGTAGTCATGCTATCAAGCTTTGCTTACTTTGTCAATCCTCAGTCCTGTTTGATGTTTTCGATCAGTTACAGCCAGCCTTATTTTATTCTACATATATTCTTTTGTCATGTGTAAATTTACAATGTTTTGTTTGTTATTTATTTGTAAAAAAACTGCAAAAGAAAAAGAAAATCAAACGGCAGAAATAAATAAATCAAATCAAGATATAGCGCATTTTCCATATATGCCTAATGTTCAAATGCGCTTTACAATAGCCCGTCTGCACTAATTTGACGAGGGGGATTAGACTTCACTGCAAGGTCACTGACAGGTGGTTATCTCATCAAATCAGCTCTCAATGAACATTAAAAGGGGATCATGGGGGACCAACAGGCACCGATTAAGCATTGTTTGCTATAGAGAGGGCGCAAGTAGCTATAAATAGGTCAGTGGGGGGCATTAAGAGGATAGGTTAGTTTATGAATATTTTGTGAAATAAATAGATTTAAAAAAGGGTCTCCCCGAAGTCTCCATTAAGCGCTATAAACAAACAAAATATGATGATAAACAATTTTAAGCAAAACAAAACAATTACAAATAATCATACAAATAAGAGTTGCTGGTACATGTATCTGCATGGGAGAGGCAGTGGCAGTCACCAAGAAAACAAAGAACTATATATTCTGCCCCATCCACACCCTCCCCTGATCAGCTGCCATGTTCAATTGACCCCCCCCCCCCCCGATGATGCCGGGGACGGGGTTACCCCTCTAGTTCTCGTCCATGCTCTCGATCTCGGCCTCATCACAATCTCTCGGGTATTTCATTCCTCATTTGCCTCTTAAAAGACACCATCGCTCCAGCTCATTGGCGACAATAGTCAAATCACTGACTAATCGCCAATAACTCAAAACACAACAACAACAACTCCAGCCTACATCTTTCATATATTGTATTCAATTCATCACAAAGTATTTGACTTGAGAGAAAATGTCGAAAATGTGGCGAACCATTCCATGTCATATCTCAGAATTACGTTTGGATATCACTCTTGCCTGTGGACAAAGCTTTAGGTGAGGTAAATTGTTTATAAATAATGATGCAAATGAGGCAAATACTGTTAGTGTTACTCAGTTTGGTGGTGTAGCTTGTTTGACAGAGTGCTGCGCCGACGCGGGCCCGTAGGTGTACATGTAACACTCCGTAGTCGCTTGTGTAGATCTAGCGTGTTGCTTAGCTTAGCTGAGCTGAGCAGAAAATTTGGTCTAAGCATGAGCTAGCCGGTCGGTACCGGTAGACTATAGGCCCTAGACAAAAATAACCGTCTGGTATGGGTCATTCTTTAATAAAACTGACATTTGTTGACCCCATTTCCCCATGTTTTATATAGATCTAGAGTAGATCTAGGCCCGTATTAGAATCTATTATTAGACCTAGACTCGAGTCTAGGCACACAGTCTGGTCATAGGAGCATCACTATCCTGGCTGTGTAGTAAAAGCTGTGCTTTTGATTCTCGACATTTCAAACACCACTGTACAAAACTCAACTGATTTCACTCAAAATCGGTACTTTAGTGACAATTGATGACACCTAGCAGTAAAATACATTTTTTTTTAAACTTACTGATGTTAAAAAGAATAATTTTAAAATTCACATTGTAAGTCTAATGTCAAACTTTGCTTACAGCTGCATCGACATGATTGTGTAGAGTCTATGCGATATTGTGTGGTGTGTATATTTGTGTATAGGTCTAATAATACCTGGATCACGGAAAGAAGGAATGCTCAGTCGAGTTTGTCCTGTTGAATCGGATAGTCCTCGATAAATCGAGTGTTTATTCAATCTGTATGAAAAATAAAAGATGAAGAAATCCTTAGCATCATTGCCTTGCGATTGCTAATCACCAATACATCGTTCTGTTAAACCATTAAATATTGACTTTGTGAAACAGGTATATCCTTAGTTTACCACTTGGCATCAAAATCCTCTTCTTGTATTTACCAATTGTAAACATACCTAGCCCTCATGTAAATGTACTTCTTATAATTCACTTTAAATGTTAAATGAATATTTGCAATAAAGATTGAATATCCATTCTAATCTCAACTTGAGTAATGCCTGTTTATTAATTTGTTCCAAAAAACCTGTCCTTATATATTTCGACTACAATCAAAGAAATACAATCATGACCTCTTCAGTCCAAATATTCTCACACTGTAACATCTATCAATGTAAAATTGATACAAAACCAACATCTGTTTCATTTACCCACTTTCTAAATTGAAGTGTTTCTTACAACAAAAACCAGAATAAAAACTTCTCAAATGTTACTGTTAATGCCACCAAATAACTCTATTATTTGATGCATTATTTATACAAACACATCAACACACATATTTAGACAAATATGGTATTAACCTAACTGACCGAAAATACTCTCGCCAAACCTGGCCATACAAGTTGCGTACATTCCACGCTCGTTAGTTACATTTCATTTAACTCTACATTTCTACATTATATGTTTGCTTAATTGCCTCTGAACCAATTGATAATTAATACGTACATCTTTGGCAGGATCTACTCGAAACCGTGGAACACAAATTACCCCTCGCGGAGACATTTGTGACAAAACTGTTACATCAAAAATGGTGGACAAACACGTCCGTTCTCTGACTTGATGATGTGGCTCTGAACTTAGCCGTGACTTACTTTTGCCACGTACCGGTCCCAGATATTCTAAGGTGTCCTCAAAGAAACACATGTGATCTTCTCAAAGGAAAATAAGAAAACTTCTTAATACATGAAAAATCGTCTAAATTCTTACTAGACAAATCACAAATGAAAAAATGACATTTTCACTGAAACATTCACCCCCCCAATGGGGCAATAACCCCATTACATAAAATGCCTAATTATCCGCTTCTCTATTTCGTTCAAATGTCTAGTCTTTAGCCATCATACCCTTCAGCTGGATATATTATCGCTATTTTTGTAACTGGCCTGCGATACTCTCCTGAGACAGTTTTAACTTTGACATTCCTAACTGTACCATCTACCCCAGGATACACTTGAACTACCCTCGCTATAGTCCACTTCCCTCGCACTGCATTTGCGTCTGCCAACATCGCGATGTCTCCAACACGGACGTTTCTACGCTCAGTGTTCCATTTTCTTCGTGGTACAAGTAATGGAAACACGTCTCTGTTCCAACTCTTCCAAAACGAGTTCACAATTTGCTGCACAAACTCTACTCTATGTCTGGGATTCCTGGTCTCACGGAATGGACCGTGAGGCACCTTGCTCGAAGATCTCCCCAACAACAAATCATTCGGACAGAGGTAACCTCCATCATCTGGATCATTACCAACGCGTCCTATTGGTCGTTCATTCACAAGATTCGCGACCTCTAAGAAACATGTATACAACTCTAATGGTGTGAGCACTTGCTCACCTATTGCCCTTTTCAAAGCAAACTTGCAACTTTTCACCATGGCTTCCGCACAACCATTCTGATGAGGCGCTCCTGGAGTAACAAACTTCCACACTACACGTTTCTCGGCACAAAAATCTTTGAGCTCTCTCTCGCTCCATCCTCTAACCATCTCGCGAAGCTCGCGTTCCGCTCCAACAAACTGCGTCCCGTTGTCGCTCAGAAACTGTGCAGGCTGCCCTCTCACTGCAATGAATCTACGTAATGCTTGGAGAAACTCCATCGTTGAACAGTCTGTTGCCATCTCCAGATGTACGGCTCTGGTATTCAAACATGTGAAGATGATGCCGTAATGCTTGGCCTTCTTGTTTCGACCCACCTTGACTAAATATGGGCCAAAGTAGTCGCATGACGTATAATGGAAAGGCGGGGTGAATGGTGCCAATCGACAGCTAGGCAGATTCGCCATAATCTGCGTTTCCCTTCTACACTCTGCAGCTCTGCACGTCACGCATCGATGTTTCACCGTCTTAGCTAGTCGGTAACCTTGGAGTATCCAAAACTTTCTCCGTGTCTTGGCCGTAGTCGCTGCTACACCATGATGTCCCAGTTCATGTGCGCTACGTATTATCATCAGTGATATGTGATGGCTGGCAGGAAGTAGAGCTGGATGCTTCGACTCGTATGACGTCACAAGGTTTTCCACTCTACCACCTACTCTGATCACACCATCATCGTCAACAAAAGGAGTGAGCACCTTGAATTCTCCTTTCTCTAGTCTGGGCAGTAGACTGATCTGTGCTCTCTTTACCCAGTACTTCTCTGCACTATCTAACTCTGTTGGGCTTAGAGTAACTTTGTCATCTGGTTTGGGTCCCTTCTGTATCTTGGCCTTCAGGATTTGGATAAATCTGAATACATATGCGGTCGTTCTCAGGAGCTTTCTCCAACTCAAAGTTCTCTTACAATTTATCACTTCTGCTGTCTCTGTTGTTATGAAGACTGACTGGGACTTTGTCTTTTCCTCACTTATGTCACCTTTGCAATTCACTGCTGCCTTGTCTGTAGGCCAGTCTGACTCGTCAGAGAGCAGGAAAATGGGCCCATCCTTCCACTCTTCTGACAGCCTCTCTACAGCTATACCTCGTGACACCTTATCAGCTATATTGACTTCACCAGGGATGTGTTTCCAGTCTGCTGGGTTTGTTAGTGTCTGGATTTCACCAACTCTGCTTGATACAAATGCCTTGTATGTTCTGGCAGATGACTTTATCCACTGGAGCACAATCATACTATCAGTGAAGAAAACAACCTTTTCCACCTGTAGCCTCATCTCATTGCTGATTGCTTCGTGCATTCTAGCTGCTAGTACCCCTGCCAGCAGTTCAAGTCGAGGAATAGTGAGCGCTTTGAGAGGTGCGACCTTCGACTTGGCTGATACGAAGCGCACTTCATACTTGTCATCATCTGTCTTCCACCTCAGATAAGCGCATGCACCATATGCAATCTCAGAAGCGTCACAGAAAATACATAAGACTGGTCTCCCCTGGGCATTCTGTGGTTTCAGACATCTCTCAAGACTGATGTCATTGAGCTTACTCATTTCTCTGAATAATCCTCTCCATTCATCTCCATCAGGTAACTCCTCATCCCAGTCATAACCACTCTGCCACAGCTTCTGTAAGCCAGTCTTTGCCTTGATGATAATTGGCGCAGCAAAACCAATAGGATCATAGATTCTTGCTACTTTTCCCAAGATCTTTCTCTTAGTCAGCTTTTCTGTCTCTTTATCCGTTTCTTGTAGCTTGACCTTGTATGAGAAGGTATCATTATGTCTCTCCCATACTACACCAAGCACCTTCTCTTCAGCAATCTCCTCTAAGAGTTTCATATTTTCCTGCTTGTTGCCTCCATCAAGTGGCTTGTTTGATTGCCAACCTTTAACCTTGAAACCTCCTGCCTCCAACAGTTCATCTACCTCTGCGATACGTTTCTTTGCTGTATCTTCGGTCTCTACTGAATCGCAGATGTCATCCATGTAGATGTTTCTTTTCAGGATTGCAGCTGCTTCTGGGTACTTGGCTTCACCTTCTTCAGCCGTCAGTCTTACACCTATCTGCGCCATTGCTGCCGCTGGTTTGTCTCCAAACGTCACCACCTTCATCATATACACATCTGGTTCTTTCTCCTGGTTCATGTCTCTCCACAGAAATCTGTGTACATGCTGATCTCTTTCGGGAATCAATATACGGTGATACATCTTGCTAATATCTGCACATATTGCCACTGGGTGTTCTCTGAACCTGAGGAGGACTCCAAATAGGTTGTTCAGTAAGTCAGGCCCTTTCTTCCAGTACTCATTCAAGCAGTGACCTTTGTAGATTGCAGATGAATTGAATACAATTCTCAGAGGTGTGCTTTTGTTGTCTGGCCTGATTACTGCGTGGTGACTGATGTAATGTACCGGTCCTTTGTACGTTGTCATTTCATCTTTCTCTAGCTTCTTAGCAAATCCCATCTCAGTCATCTCTTGTATCTTAGATTTGTAGGCTTCTGTATGCTCTGGATTCTTTCTGAGTTTTCTTTCTGCAGCAAAGAGCATCTTCTCTGCTAAGAACTTGTTATTGGGTAAGAGATCAGGATCTTTATCCCATGGATATGATATCTCCCACTGTCTTCCTACTTTGCGTGATGACGCCCTGATAATCCTCTCTTCCTCAGCTTCCTGTTTGGTAAGCCCACTCTGTGTGCACTGGCAGGAGGTAGGATTAACACCCTCTGACTCTATCTTCCAAAAATCTGTTAAGTCAACTGGGCTTGCTAACTTAACATGAAGAACTCTTGTTCTGTTCTCTGCTTCCCTCTGAGTTGTGCCAAATACAACCCATCCAACAGCGGACTTCCTAGCAGCACAGCCGCCAACTACTCTAACTTCTCCGGCATGCAGTCTAGCATGGTCTATTCCAACTAGAAGATCAACTGGTCCACTACCTCTTTGCAAGTCCTCTTCTCTCAGTTGAAACTTCTGGGCCAACTCCGGCAGGTTCACCGCAGCTACGTCATCACTTATGCAGTCTATTCCTAATGCAGTAACCATTATTGTTTTACTTTTATTTACCTCTCTAATGGGCACTTTATACTTCTTCGTTGTCAATGTTTCCTCATCTCTGCCTATCTTGGTTACCGTGATGGTAGCCGAGATCCCCTCCAGTCCCAGCTCAGCAGCAAACTCATCTCTTATTAAACTTATTTGCGCACCTGAGTCCAGGAGAACATTTCCCCTTAAAATGTTCCCTCTGTGCCCAACATCTGCAGTAACCAAGGGCAGCATGGCTTCTCCACTGTCCACTGCAGCAACACCAACTGTGCTTCTTCCAGTCGCACCCTCAGAATCAAAATGCAACAATGGATGATGGAAATAGTTACATCTCTTTCCATCTCTCATCTCCGGACATTGCTGCCTCCTCCGACACGTTGCCATTGAGTGGTTCCTCCCTGCTTTTTTCAAACAGCTAAAACATGCATGTTGATCCTTAACAAACTGGAGCCTTTCTCGTGCGGTCTTTGATGTGAACTTTTTGCATTGGTCCACCCAATGGTCTCCTGTCTTGCATATCCAGCAACGGTGTTGCAGAGTTTCTTCTGATTGCTGTCTCTGAGGTGTCTGTGACATGTGCCCTACTGCATGACGACTGTCACTTCTTAGGGGAGCATTTGCTCTCATTCTGGCCTTCATCTCTCCGCTCATCCACTTTAGCAGCATCTCCAGGGAAACAGCTGATTGCTGTTCATCTTTGTCTATCTCTTGATAGCGGAACCATACTCTTCTGTCATCTGGGTTCATCTTCCGTTCAATCATGGCCAACATGTTACTGTTGTTCATATCATTCTCTCGGCCTATTTCCTTTAACGTGTTGTAACTTCTTCTCACCATATGTACCAGATCACAAAAACGACCATCTTCGTTCTCTTTAAGAGGCTTGAATTTGTGGAGATCGTTCATTATTGCGTCAGCCACAAACCTTGGATCTCCATATATGCAATCAAGATGCTCCCATGCTGCTTCATAATCAGCCCCAATACCTCTAATCAGATCAAGTGGACGTCCTTGTAGACAAGTACGTAGAATCGAAATGGCATCCCTGTTCCCGTACCTGCTCTCGACCAGATGTTTGAAATCTGATTTAAATATGCCATACTCTCTCACATCCCCATTGAACTTAGGTAGCTTGGGTCTCTCCAGCTGGAAACTACTGACCTGTCTAACATGTGACGTAGGAGGGCTTGCCTGATTGACTTCACTGGATGTATGAATGTCATCAGGTAGGGGGTTTGGATCTGCTTGGTTGTTTCTGTCCTGAACTTCAACCACTGGAGTTGGGGACTCCTTACGGACATAGTCCTTAACATCCATCTGGAACATTAAGAAATCTTTCTGACATTTCTCCATCCACTGTTCTTCTTGCTCAAATGTTGCATCGTCTTCTATAGTTGCTGCATACACTTCATGGATGCCTGTAAGCTCGTGGTACGCCTGTTGGTACTCTACAAACATGTCGCTCACCTCTGATGAAGGACGATTCTCATCTATCTGGAGGCGGACTGCCTTTTCCTTTCTTGTGAGCTTGGCCTTGGCGGTCCTCCTCTTTACTTTCTCAGACATCTTCTCCCGTTCCCTGGTCAGCTTTAGAGATATTGAATTGATGGATCACGGAAAGAAGGAATGCTCAGTCGAGTTTGTCCTGTTGAATCGGATAGTCCTCGATAAATCGAGTGTTTATTCAATCTGTATGAAAAATAAAAGATGAAGAAATCCTTAGCATCATTGCCTTGCGATTGCTAATCACCAATACATCGTTCTGTTAAACCATTAAATATTGACTTTGTGAAACAGGTATATCCTTAGTTTACCACTTGGCATCAAAATCCTCTTCTTGTATTTACCAATTGTAAACATACCTAGCCCTCATGTAAATGTACTTCTTATAATTCACTTTAAATGTTAAATGAATATTTGCAATAAAGATTGAATATCCATTCTAATCTCAACTTGAGTAATGCCTGTTTATTAATTTGTTCCAAAAAACCTGTCCTTATATATTTCGACTACAATCAAAGAAATACAATCATGACCTCTTCAGTCCAAATATTCTCACACTGTAACATCTATCAATGTAAAATTGATACAAAACCAACATCTGTTTCATTTACCCACTTTCTAAATTGAAGTGTTTCTTACAACAAAAACCAGAATAAAAACTTCTCAAATGTTACTGTTAATGCCACCAAATAACTCTATTATTTGATGCATTATTTATACAAACACATCAACACACATATTTAGACAAATATGGTATTAACCTAACTGACCGAAAATACTCTCGCCAAACCTGGCCATACAAGTTGCGTACATTCCACGCTCGTTAGTTACATTTCATTTAACTCTACATTTCTACATTATATGTTTGCTTAATTGCCTCTGAACCAATTGATAATTAATACGTACATCTTTGGCAGGATCTACTCGAAACCGTGGAACACAAATTACCCCTCGCGGAGACATTTGTGACAAAACTGTTACATCAAAAATGGTGGACAAACACGTCCGTTCTCTGACTTGATGATGTGGCTCTGAACTTAGCCGTGACTTACTTTTGCCACGTACCGGTCCCAGATATTCTAAGGTGTCCTCAAAGAAACACATGTGATCTTCTCAAAGGAAAATAAGAAAACTTCTTAATACATGAAAAATCGTCTAAATTCTTACTAGACAAATCACAAATGAAAAAATGACATTTTCACTGAAACAATACCTGCCTCACAGCAAGCATGCAGTGCTAGAGGTCAATACGCATTAGCATTGACTCTCTTAGACAGAAATAACCGTCTGATTTGGGTCATTTCTTTAATAAAACTGACATTTGTTGACATTAACCCAGAAATCTCGTACCGTGGGGGTAATCGAGGGCACAGCGGAACATCTTTTCGTTCCCGACATTTCTCCCCCGATTTTCTTTATTTAGATCTAATTTTCTGATTTCTAAATCAGATGTAAAATAGGTATAAGTAGTATTCTCCTATTTACACTACATATTTTTAATATAAATCTTATACAAATATGAAAATTATAGACTTACTTATACAAATTGTCCCATTTTCGTCTCAGAACTGTGAAACCGTACGTTCGTGCACTCGAACATAGAGCTATATGACCCAGCGACCGATACATTTCCGGGTCAACCTACCAAAACATAGCCAATGGCCAATCAGAGCACTCGTTTCGTGGGTCAAGCCGGGCTGACTTGTACATGTACGTAGCTACGGTAGCTATTGGATGTTCACAAAGAAAAAAAATGAATATTCGTCAACTAAAACCAAGATGGCTGACAACGACTACGAGACTTTCTCGGATTAGACTCTAATCATTAATTTTGGAGCTGAATAAGCAAGCCATCGAAAGTCAAAGTATATATTTAAGTTTTCGTTATTGTATAGATAACGGGGGCTGTAGAATGGCAGCAAAATTAGATTTGATGAAGACGTAAAAAGAGAAAAACCTTGGAGCATTTCGTTCATCTCTGTTCGGTCACTCTACCCTCACGGTCCCCATAGGCCGTACTTCAGTCTCTATTATCGGAGGTCTAGTGGAGCCAGACGTAGTCTCTGTGGAACAACCGACGATTAGAGAGACTGAAGTTTTCGGTCTATGACTCTCTATGCTCTCTATTACTCTGACTGAGTCTGACTGAGTCCTATGATCTATCTATATTTTTTCCCCAATTTTAGTGGGGGGTGGAACTCTACCCCCATTCTTGGCAAAGGAATTTCAGCCCAATTTTAATCATAATCATATATTGCATTTTCCACCTGAATTTGGATCACATCCGACATCGGAAAGGCTCCGATGTCGACGTCGTCGCTCAGTACCGTCTCTAGGCTATAGCTCTGCACCTCAAACTGAAGCTATTATCAATAAAAAGTTATGCAAACTTCTTGTATATTGTGGGTATCATGCATGCACATATTTCTCACACCGTTTTGCTATTTTTGAGTATACGAAGATTTAACAATCGGATCTAGTATATATGTGTGATTTGTGATTGTAAAGTTAATAGTATTGGAGTGCTTTTTTACATGAGTGGATTGTTATCATATTTTTCTTTTGTTGTTGTTACAAGATGGAAGGAGATCGAACCAGGAACGTGGAGGAGTGTTCTGGCAGGTAGCATCTGGACTCTGAGGCAGACTGATACTCACATCTCATACCAAATTCACAATCCAAGCACACATCCAGAGGTAAAGACATGTGGTAAGAGTGGTGATGAGCTCCGGGTCCAGTCCCACAAGAAGAAGCAGCGAGGAGCTGCTCCGAATCAAGACTGCAAGAGCAAGAAGAGGCAAAAAATGACATTGAGTGGTGGAGGAAACGAGTGTGGTGTTGTCAAAGGGGCAGAGGATGATGAAAAATTCTCTAGCGCCATTTTGCGGGATTACCTCCAGCTTGATGTGAACCTCGGAGAGCTCTACACCCAGTGGCAGAAAGCAGACAAGAACTTCTCCAAGGTGTCTGAGAGTTTCCCCGGAGTTCGTATCCTGAGACAGGACCCTGTGGAGAACCTGGTGTCCTTCATCTGCTCATCTAATAACAACATAGCAAGGATCACTGGAATGGTGGAAAAGTTATGCCAGCAATATGGAGACGAGGTGAGGATATTTACTCACTCTCTCTCTCTCTCTCTTTCTCTCTCTCTTTCTTAAAAACTCTTTCTCTCTGCTAGTCTTTCTATGTCAATCTCTCTCTCTCTCTGTCTGTGTCTCTCTTTATAGAAGTCTCTCATTCTCTTCACCTTCTCTCATTCTTTTCACCTACTCTCCATCTCTCTTTCTGCCTATTATCTCAATATCTTCATATGAACTCTGGCTTTCTCCATATCTTCCTATCCTTTTCCTCTTCTCTCGCCTTTCCCCCTCTCTCTCTCTTCCTCTCATATTTGTACATTTTTATTAAATAAAATGAATTTTATCTGCACTTTGTAGTAATGACTTTACATTTATTACTTCAAATTTAACCTCCAAATAATTCTTTAAATTTGCAATTTTGCTAATTAACTTAGTTACCATGAAATTGTTTTTTGGATTTTTTTTCTAAATTCAATAAATATAATTATAAATTTCAATTGTTTAAAAACAAAGACTTCATGAATAGTTTCTTTTTAATGCATTCAGAATTTTGCATTTGAACGTTCTATTACTTTGTAATTCCTGGGGGGTGTTTCATAAAGCTGTTCGTAAAGTTACGCATGACTTTATGAACGACTTGTATATGAAGTGCTAGATAGGATGCCCAAAATTTTTTCTGATATTTTCAATAACCTCAATTGAATTATGGCAAAATATATACTTTGCAATGAAAATGTTTGTTATCATAAGAATGTTAATCTACATCTGCACAGTTCAATTTGTTTTGATATATTTAATAATGATTGAGCATCCCATTTGACTTTTCATATACAAGTCGTTGGTAAAGTCATGCGTAACTTTACGAACTCTTTATGAAACACCCTCCTGTCCCTTTTATCATGAAATACTTATATAATATTGACTGGCCTTGAGGGGTATATCAGAAATATTGACCAAGCTCAGATCATATTGCCCCGAGTCGAAAGACGAGGGCAATATGGTCTTAGCGCGGTCAATATTTCTGATATCCCCCGAAAGTAAAGCCAGTCAATATTTTTATTGTTATCCAAATCAGACATCTAGAGCAATCTCAAGAACTGAACAAACTTTGTCAAACCAACACTGTGCATCCAGTGCTTGACAAAATTTTCGATACACTGCAAACAGTGTGTATTTGGTGTGATTATTACGTCACAATAGAGTGCGCGCAAAGTGCGCAGGTTCTCGTACGCATAATAGATGCGCAAAAAATGCGACGCGGTCAATACAAGATGCCCAGATGCGAGACCGTGGAAAATACCAAGGTATATTTTCACTCGTCTCTACACACAAAGTCAATACGCGCAGGGAGACCAAGGAAAATACAAAGAATATACCCCTCCGTTCCCACTGCTACTGCTAGTGAAAACTAGGGCAATACGGTTTTGTTAATGACCAGCTCAGATGTCTGATACGGGTAATAATGTCCAGTACTGTCCAATGCATCTCTTTACATGTATAAGTCCTTCAATATACACCTGTATTTATTAATATATAGGTGGCAGTATTAGATGGCGTTTCGTGGCACTCTTTCCCTTCCCTGGTGGCTCTGAGTGCCAAAGGTGTCGAGGAATCACTGAGGAAGATGGGGTTTGGATACAGAGCAAAGTTCATCAGTCAGTCGGCTCGGATGGTGACCGAGGACTTTGGAGGTGAAGCATGGTTGAGAGGTCTAAGAGACCAACCCTACCAAGAGGCTCACCCTGAACTGATGAAACTTCCTGGTGTTGGGGCAAAGGTGAGGTGCATGTACTACGTTAGTGAGAAAAATTACCGTAAATCTCTGTGTATAAGGCGTACAGTACCTGTGTATAATAATCACCCCTATTTTTGGGGGGGGGGGGGATTTTTTGTTGTTGCAGACTCCATAGGCAGCAAGCCATGTCCGTGTTCACGTGGGGAAGGACCTTTATATTACTGCGAGGTGCAGTTGAAGTTGTGAACTTGAACACAACTTGAACTTGTCACAAATAATAGTAACAATGTTGTTTTAAAACTAAAGATGACAGACAAATTTCCTCTAAGTCCAAACAGAAATTTGGCCATACAGGTACTGTAGTGTTGTTCTAGTTCATGAGTGGTGAGTCAACACATCGTGTATGACTGAGCTAGGAGACATTGCTAGGTGGAGGGGTATAAGACACACCCCCGACTTTCAAATTTTTTTTTGGCGGGAAAAACACAGAGATTTACAGACTTTCTGGGGAACATCTACAGCATACCCCACCATAGGGCCTATCTGTGACCCTAACCCCAATCCTAGCCATAATCCTAACCCCTCATCATGACACTTGCCCTAGCCTTAATACACAGTACTGATGCATTTGTTGTCGAGGTATTCTGCAGGTAAGCCCTTCCTTGGACACGAGATCTCTTATGGAATTTACCTTTAGAAGACTGAGACTCTCTTGTAGCTATTTTCATATACCTGGTATAATTAGTTAATATTACCAGAGCTCTTTTGAAGTTCACCATATATAACATTGTTTCATGCCGTCTCCTCGTTCCAGGTTACATAATGTGTTTTCTGATGTCATGAGATCGCTTGTAGGATTTATTTTCGGAAGACTGAGATTTTCTTGTAGCTATTTTTATATACCTGGTATAATTAGTTATTTACCTGAGCTCTTTTGAAGTTAACCATACATTGATATATATTTAAAATCGTTCCATGCCGTCTCGTCTTTCCAGGTTGCAGATTGCGTTTGTTTGATGTCCTTGGACAAGAGAGGGGCTATACCGGTAGACACCCATGTCTGGCAGATAGCGTCCAGGGATTACATACACACACTGCAGAAGACCAAGACCCTGACGGACCGCACCTATCGTCAGATCGGAGACTTCTTCAGAGAGCTGTTTGGTGAATATGCCGGCTGGGCACACTCGGTGAGTTTGAAGAATATTTGAAGCTTCCTATTCATAGTGAAATGGTCAGCAATTCGGAACAACTCTTTTAAATGGACCT